TGTGCCTCAGGCCTCCCTCCAATTGGCTGTCCTGACAGCTGACTTTTTTGGCCCATAGGCAGAGCAGGGTCAACCGTCCGTTAGATAAAGTCCAGCGAGGGGGGGATTGTATTTCGCGAGGTACAGTTAGGGAAGGAATGTTTTTACGGAACGGAAAGTGGATTAGTGGGGTCTTGTATGCTAAGGTTTTGGGTTGACTGCGAAAGTTTTGTCGTTTCACGATCGATACATACCCCCCTCCCTCGACGACAATTTTGGAGGGGAAAGTGGGCGGAGTTGGGCTGTTTGACTGGTTTCAGGATCAAATACTATTGCATCGCCACCTGGCAGGCGAGGGTGGTGGAGGTTGGTCGTGAAGGGTTAACCCTGAGGCCAGGGAGGAGGGGGTCGTAAAATTTTCAAAATTGGTCCAACGTGACGGTAGACCCCGAGGCAGAGCAAGGCTTACGTTAACGGCAGAAGATTGTTGATCGTGCGGAGCAAAATCGAAGATCAAGAACTGGTTTTTGTCTTGTGAGTTCCGGGCAAAGTCAACCCTATCGTTGTTACTCTTTGGAACTTTTTTACGACCCCCCCCCCTTCATGAGTGATTTGATACGACCCCCCTTGTATGTGACACTTGTGGAGAGACAGTGTTTACCATCGATATAAATTTCCACGTAAGTCATCAAGGATGAAACTTTAGCAAAATCCAACGGATATTCATCGCTGCTTCCAAACCCGAAAAAATGAGATGCATTCAAAGATATACGGGTACTCCAAAGGGCTACCAAACAAAGATACTGAACTAAGCGTGAACCGGCAGTGAGCGGGAATATTGACATCAAATTACCCTGATAAGATACCAATATGAGAAAGGTCCAGAAATAAATTGTCGCGTTCAAAGGCCAATACTGCAATCCTGTCCAGTTCTTGGCAATGGGCCAACACAAATTTTACAACACCCCGCTGGGCCGCTCTTTCTCCCAAGCATATCTTTCTTCATATTCGCCAGCTGTCTGCGGCGAAGTGATTCGATTTGGAGACTCAAATTATTCTCAATCTCTCTCCAACTCATGCTCAGAAATTCTTACGAAAGTTAATTTAAATTAAAAATTAGTAGCGTTGTTACTTTTTTCTGTGGCAAATGGCGAGACTTTTTAGCCTTCAAAAGCGATCATAACGTTTTGTTCAAAATTCATTTTGGTTTGGAAGGGCTGAAAAGGCGTATGACCACACTAACAGATGCCAAGCTTGTCTAAATGAGCCCCCAATGCCTTCCTAAAAGGGTCAGCCATCTCGAAAATTAGTCCCGTGTTAGCCGTGCGGTTTGGGCATTACTATTCTTCCTAAAAAAGCACGCGACTTTTTACTCTTCCTGCATCATAACCATCCTGCTACAAAATCGTCATTTGAGAAGCTTAACAAGATATCGACAACTACAGGATGTCGACCTACGTACGAGGGCATCGCAAACGTTCCTGAAGAAGTCAAGCCATTCGTTACACAGTGAATCATACATATTAGTATCCGCGTTGTTACCTCTTTTTGAGGGGTATTCATTCTACGCCATTTTCCGAAACCAACGCGGTTACCTTGGGTACCTGCCGTAATGCTTCTTGTGGTACGCGGCAATTTCATGTTAATTTAGGATGTGCTAGAACGCTTCGAGCATGCGCTCTGGCACTAGCAATCACTTGCCTTGGTGCGGGCGCCGCCCACGCCTCGGGCCCACCCTTACCTCGATCCCGCTGATTCATTTTGAAAGCTCCAGTCAGACCGGGAAGCGGTGGTTCTATCAGCTGTTCCTCACGTATCAAGTTATCCTTCGACCAACGTAACGTGCCCGGTCTCATTACCGCTATTACCCGCAAACTCCCACTGCCCGGGCATCCTGAGAGAGTACGAACCCCCCCCTCCCCTCCATAGCCCAACTGAGTACGAACTCTGCCACCGTTGCGTGCTAAGCCAACGTAGGGCTTGACCCTGGGTTCAGGGTCGTTCTCTCCGTGGCCTCTTGATCCCCCTTCCGCCTTTACCACCCGCTCAACATTCATTTTCAGTGAGCAGTGGATACATCGTAACATGTGCTTTTGAAGGCAGCGTTTACGTCAAGTTCTCAATGGCTTTAGAAGGAATGTGAAAGTGGTCAATAGTACGCCAACGGCTAAAAAAGCGAAGAAATCCGCCGAGAAAACGCAAAACGGTGTCTAGCTCTTTGGTGGTACTATGCCGAACCATGCACCAGCCAAGTTGCTCCAGTTAAGCCGCTGCCGGCAACGCAGCTCCTCAAATACCAACTAAACAAGTGAAAGGGGTAGAGCGTGACAGTTTTCGAGTCCACCTCAGCAACCTGAGCACCTTTCTTTATGGAAGCGCCATATCTCGCATCCGTTCAGCCAAGCTACTGCTTCATGTGGCGCTTAAAGGAATCCTGCGCGAAAAAATCATGATCCTATTCCCTCATGAAACACTGACTCGAGTCCCATAGGTCACCATGAGAAAGAAAAGAACGAGAAATAAGAGTTTCTTTTGTAGAAAAATTCAAAAAACCGAGACACCTATTAGTCGTTCGAATTCCCGCCAAGCTGAGGTCACGAGCGTTTGCGGAAGGGACCTCGTTTCTCGGAGTGTCGTCACCGGAAAGTCTTCCCGCGGTGGCGCAGCGCTGTGATGTGGGCTTGGGCCTAATTTTAAGTTTTTTTTTGTTCCACAGCTCTGTGTGTGTGCGAAATGTGTGCGAAACAAAATCACGCGCAATTGTGCTTTGGGACGCAATTGCGCTCGCGGCAGTTTACACGTCGCATCCTGAATTCGTCCTACAACGCGTCGCCTTACACATAGCCGCCTCCCCACGTATATTGTTCCATGAGTTATGTTGTTCCGCCCGATGGTCCTTCGATGGTCCTTCGATGGTCCATGGAATGTGGTTTTGGTAAGTTTATTTCTCTTCGGAAACTAAATGTTTGTGCGCCTAACTTCGTATGTTGGCTCCAGTGACCTCAAACATACATGTTGGGAATTGGAGCAAGAAATTTCCGCACAGGATTCCTTTCCAATGCGCTCCCTTTTTATCGTAGACACTTCTTTGAGGTACATACCTTCTTGAAAGGTGGAATAGAAACAGGAAATAAGTGGGGAGGGGGAATGTGAGCAAAAATGAAACAACGATCCGAAATTATTTAGACCAACAAAATCGCACAACATGCAAAACCTTGCAATGCATACAACTCACAGAAGTGGAGCTGTTCTCCGATGAGGTGGAACCGGGTCGAGCATGTGTCGTGCTGGTCACTCGACGCCGATGTGCTGTGCTGATCGATGTTGTGGTAGGAGTGGTGGATGTGGTTGGTGCACTTGTGGTGGACAAAGTGCTGGTGGTGGTGATGGTGATCTCCTCTTGGCTTTCCATTGATCCCCTCTGTAAGCGAAAGAGGGGTGTTGTGCGTTCACAAGTGAGAGCTTCTTTGCAGAATTTAAACATATATACTAAGCGAAAAGAGAAGACGGAAAGCAAGTGAGCGTTGCGTCGCGCTTTCACGGCTGGCGCTGTTGACTTCTTAACCCTCTCACAAACGCGCGGGATTCTCAAAGACTGCCCCTGCGGACCAGCTCCGGCAGAGGCAATGTTAGCCACCAGTGGCTGACATTGTACCAGGGAACGTCCATCTTGTTTTTTTTGTTTTTTCTATATATCTTCTGCTCTTTCCGTTTAACCTTTCCCTGTAATGGTTATCAGGGGTCCTGATCACGAATATGGAATCCATTTCGGGCGCTGACTGAATCTCATCAAATTCGCTGTAAACTTGTATACAGGGGTATTTGAGGCACTGATTACATATATGACATTCACTTTTCCGATAGCAAAAATTTACGTCACTTGCTACGCCAATTTCGCCACGGCGCCACTTTGCGCCCTATGGCGCAACAGCTTTTTTCCGCCACATTACGAGGAAAATCTGGAAGCACTAGTTACCGGTGGTCTTCATAATAAACATAATATCTATTCCTGGCGCCTTTGGAGCGAATTTAGAAGCTCCAACCTAAACGCAAAAATTTTGTCGTCGCGAGGGATAGAACCTCGGACCATTCCCTCACCATTTTTGGGCCTTCACGGGGTTGCTCAGCAGAAATGTACCTCGGTTTCGTAGTCCAAGCATGAGCTCCCATAACATACATGAACCGTTTCGAAAAAGTTTTCCACATCCTGAACGACCCCCCATGTTAGTCCTGATTGCGACTCAATTAATGAGAGGGTGCAGGCGAGCAAAACAGGGGCCAAGCAGCGCGAACGATCAAAACGAATGTCGTGTTAGTGTCGGGCCTACAATAACCCCTACATACAAGTTTACAGCAAAGTTGATGAGATTCAGTAAGGGCGCCATCTAGCGCCAAATGACGCCAATTGAGTGCCAGCGCCGAAGTGGATCTCATATTCGTGATCAGGACCCCTGACGCTATAAAAGTTCGAGTGTAAAGAGCAGAGGATACATAGAAAAAACTAAAAAAAAAGATGGATATTCCCTGGGACAATGCCAGCCATCGGTGGCTAACATTGTCGCGAATGGGTTAAACAGTCTCCCCACATCACCGCTAGCACGTGCCTCGCCTACTCTCTTCGCAACTAAAGCATGGTTCGCATTATTGCAGACCCGTGCTCAACGTCTATACGATAGACGCCGCGCGCGACGTGTTTACGGTTACTTCATACACACATCAAGGGATTGATGCTTCGTGTAATATTCAGCAAAAAGAACCGGGAAAAGATTAGGACAAAGGTAGGAACCAAAAAGGCAGAAAGATATGCATGCATTTGATGGATATCCGTGCAAAAAAAGGTGTGAAAGTCGTGCAACTTTTCAATCGTTTTGCATGTTTTCCGCGTCTCGTTTATTATAGCGAATCAATAATACTACTACATTTGTGCACAGAGTTACTGTTGCTATGGGGATGCATGTACATGTAACAAGAAAACAATGAGTGGATCAGATAGTAAAAGTAGCCGAGCCTTATATCACCTATCAATCCATAAATAAATAGCTACGCGGAATTCGATTAGTTTGCATATGCTGATTAGACCTCACATCGTGTTCGTCCTGTTCCGCAGAAGACGGCACCGGATGAAGACTCACGTATTTTCGGATTTCATGTCTAAAAACGGAGTGTTTATTTGTAAAATCAATCATCAGCTGAAAATTATCCATTGGCTTAGTGGGGCGGAGGAATATCGTACGGGTACCACCTGGCCTACTAGCCTCCCAACGCCGGAATTTATAACCTTGTCGTGTCGGGTCACTTCAATCTTGGATTACATGTGAACGCATGGACAACACAAGGCGAAAAGGAGTCATACATATAGTTGAACCTCACAACATGCAGTGCTATCGCATTGCATGTTCTGTGATTCAATTGTATATATGATCATCGACTAGAGTAGTAGATACCCTCAATACGACAAGGGACACCATGGTCTACGGAGAGAAGAACTTGGTTAAACATCACTTTTCAGCAGGAGGGGGTGGGGGGGTCGTATATGGGGGGGGGTCGTATTTCGCGAGGTAGCGTCAATGTTACAGTAAGGAAAGGGATTTTTTCATGGAGCGATAGTGGGGTCTTGTATGCTAAGGTTTTGGGTTGAGTGCGAAAGTCTTGCCGTTTCACGTTCGATATATACTCCCCACCTCGATGGCGATTTTGGAGGGAAAAGTGGGCGGAGTTGCCCTGTGTCGACTGGTTTCAGGATCAAATACTATAGCATCCAGGGCGGGGTCAACCCTGCGTTGCGCAAATTCCAAAATTTTAACGACCCCCTTCCTTTTTGGGGGGTATCGGTACGACCCCCCATATTAACTATCATGTCTTTCACATAATTTAATGCTCATCAATGCTCTGATGGCAGTCACCAACATGGAGAAGTGGTGGACCGTGGTCAATCCGCGCGCTTTGTCTCGCTCAGAGGAGAAAATTGGGGCAACTGAAGTTTTATTCATTAAATAGAAGGAATTTCCAAATGTTTGCGTAAACCAATACATCATTCTAATCGTAAAGATCTCTACTTCCAGAAACCCACCAAGATTTTTTCGATATCTCAATTTTCCTCACCTTATAATCTGAAAAAGTAAACCTTGTAGCTACATTGCAATCCAAACCCCTCCATTCAGAAGGTCATATTTTCTTTTCGGAGCAGTTTCATGAAATCGGACACCGCAAATTTTAAAACATAATAGTTTTGTTCTGAGGAATATTTGAAATGTTTGTGGATGTTCATATTTCGAAAAATCATCCCGTTGTTCCGTTTTCTGTGCACACGCAGTTTTTGACATTCAAATCCATAACCTTCTTCATAATCAACTTCTTGCGAATGTCTAAGGACAATTAGAAAATAGAAGATTAGAGCTTGATCGAACACGCACCTGAAAATTTTCCAGCGTCATTTTCAAAAATAGTCTCTTGTTGCGTTTTTGGTGGGATCGCGATGGTTGAGGTCCGACTTTTGAGAGGCGCGAGTTTTCGACATTCAAGTTTGTAACTTTGTCGTTACACAATTTTGGCGAGATGTCTAAGGCTAGTTAGAGATCAGAGGATTAGAGGCTTTCGAATAAGTTCGTGAAACTGCTTAGAAATAATCACGCTCGCTCAAAAAATAGTCCCGTCATCTTTCCGTTTTTCCACGTTGCTTTTTCAAGTCATTTTCCTGGCGACGCGACTATGCAGTCTGTCAAAAAGCCCATTACTTCCTTTCATGTTAATGTGATGAGAAGCGGGAAAATTGTTTGGATGCCACTCGAAGAGTACTTCAATAAACACTGTGAAAATTGTTCTAGAAATTCTTTCCTGCCCTCGCAGTCTCTTCTCGGCGGTCTCGGGGAGAATTTCAATGTTCAGCAAATTCGCTACACTTTGTTTCGCTTAGATTTTATTTGGAAGCATCAAAACTCTCTTCAGAAAGTTCGTCTGCTTACGGCAGCTGACAGAGGATGCGTTTTTATGGGAAAACGCCTTGGGTATACGCCGTGCACCTATCTGTGGGCAGAGCTCGCACTCGCATTTTGAAGTCTTCTGTTTTCCTGAAGAGGTGTAAGTATCCTGATTGAGTTGCATTGTGCTGTTATATGGCACTCTTGTTTCACTTTCCCATGAACTGCTCTACACTTTGTTCTCCTCGGGATTTCAGGAATGTTCCATCATCGAAGACAGACCATGTTTTTGCACTACACTGTAACAAAGTTTTTGGCCATTGTCTATTGTACTCTTGATCTATGCCGGGGAGCAAAAGCGCCGTCCGGATAGTGTCGATTAAGGATAATAAGCTGATGGTGAGACTTATGGTGCTCTGCATGCTTTAATGCTCCCATGGAGCTCATGTCTGTGTGACTCTCCGACAGCGTGCAGAGCTCCTGGCGAACATTAGAGGCTGAAAGTGCACTCGCGGACACTGCACTTTTCAAGCCGTCTTGAAGCCCTTCTGTGGATACGATCCCCTCCCTTTTTGGTCGGCTGAATAGGACCCCCTCATTGTTCTTTGCACAACGCAGGGTTGACCCTGATCCAGGGTGAATAACGGTCGAGGATTTCCTCGACCATAGCTCTATGCCATGCGAGAGTAGTGCCGAGAGTGAACATGCGCGCGGAGGGCACAAACGGCACGCGCATGTTCACTCTCGGCACTACTCTCGCATAGCATAGAGCTATGGTCGAGGAAATCCTCGACCGTTATTCACCCTGGATCAGGGTCAACCGCGCGAGAGATCGTGTTTGATCGGGCAGAGAATCCTCGACGTGCCGTTGAGGAATCGTCAAGCGATATTCACCCTGATAGCATCGCCACCTGGCAGGCGAAGGTGGTGTGAAGGATGGTCGTGAGGAGTTGGCACTGGGGGGGTCGTATCGAGGCCCTCCAGATGGGTGAGGGCGGGGTCGTAAAATTTTCGATTGGTGTAACGTGACGGTTGACCTTAGGCTCTACCCATCCCAAATTCTGGCCTCTTTCAACAGACCGGCAATCAATCAAGAAAAATCACTGCGAATTCCTTCCTCTTCCATTCTTGACCCATAGGCGACAACGCGATTTCTCGCGTGTCTACCACGTGGGATCACGCCTTTTTTAAATATTTTCAAGAAATGCATCAAGCAAACAGCTGGCACGAAAAATATGGAATATCAAAGCAGAAATTGTTAGGAGTTTGCATGTCTCAAACTGTTGCCGATCGCTGCCAAAATGAGCGCAAATCTTTCCGTTTTGTTCAAGGTGGATTTCGCGGCGAGCCAGAAACTTTTCAATTTTCTATCCTAAGACCCTTAGATTGGCTCGGATCCGGATCTATTTTAGTAAAAAGTTTTATCACACCTCTTGCTAATGAAAAACGAAGAACCAGCTTTAAACATTCAAAAATAGGAAGCTTTCCGTTGAAAAATCATTTTATGTAAAACATCAATTAGGAAAGATGTGCAAAAATCATTATTAGATATGTACATGGCTGTGGGATGTACCGTATTAAGTCGAAATAATCCCTTTACAATTAGCACTGGAGTGGGTGAGAGGACGGTCAGAGTTGTTAGCAAATATTCATGCTTCTCGTCCCTTCTACTTGTTGCGTGGAAAGTTACGATCTGCCTATGAACGTGAGATACCCATCAGAGCTCCAAAATAGGATAATAAATTAGGCATCAAATTTTCAAATCCTAGCTACCATTAACGCTAACCACGTCAACCGCCACAATCTAATCGATCTAACGCTAAAGTGCTCGGAGGCCTCGGCAAATACGCACTAATGTCCTTGCATTTCGCCGCAGGCAGATTTCGTGGTCGTCATCACCTTGCCACTCCTATGTTTAAAATTGGTCAGATGGTGTCATAATTGCTGAATGCACTTTCATGAAGTCAACAGTTACCGGAGTATTTCATTCAAACCGTGGTGTACTAATTTCTCACCGGAAGTCCACGATTTCAGCTGGAATGAGATCTCCGGAAGCATCAACGTCCACCTAAAGAATAGAGATATAATTATCAGGAAGGAAAACTGCGAAATGCTTCCTTTAGGATAAAATGAGGAGTGATGTGAGCACCCCTCCCCTTAACACCTCCTCGCCATTTGGCGCCGATGGCGCCCTGACTGAATTTCGTCAAATTTGATGTAAACTTGTATATAGGGGTTATTTGAGACCCTGATCACGAATATGAGATTCACTTCTGGCGCTGGCGCCAAATCGGCGCCATTTGGCGCCAGATGGCGCCCTGACTGAACTTCGTCAAATTCGATGTAAACTTGGGGTCTCATCCGGTAAGAGGGGGCGTTGCGGTGCACGGTCTGCTCTAATGCCAATTTGGTTCAAGGAGTCTTTTGAAGTTACGAGCTGCTATCAGCTTTTTTCCTATGTTGTTTCTTCAGGTATTTTGTGTAATGTATCTATTCTTGTACTAGATGACATTGACGTCTACGAGAAGTGAAATACACCTGATCAGCAGGTCAGGACAAGCTTAAGAGGGGGGAGGAAGTCTTTCCAGGGAGAGCCAAGGATGCTCACGGACCCGGGAACACCTTCCCATCTGGGGCTTAGTCCTGAACGTCTACAATAAGATAATGTGCTTTCTATAGTTTCAAATGCTCTAGATCGCTATGCCCCCCTTACTGATGAGACCTTAAACTTTTATATAGGGGTAGCTTGAGACTGATTACGAATATGACATTCATTTTTTCCGATTGTTAAAATTTACGCCACTTGCTACGCCAATTTGCGCTACGGCGCCCTCTGGCGCAACAGTTTTTTTCCACCACATTACGAGGAAAATCTGAAAGCACTAGTTACTGATGGTCTTTATAAAGAACATTATATCCATTCTTGCTATTTAGGAGCAAATTTGGAAGCTCCAACCTAAATGCAAAAATTTTGTCTCAACGAGGGATTGAACCTCGGACCATTTCCTCACCTTTTTTGGCTTTCGCGGGGATGCTCAGCGAAAATGGACCTCGGTTTCGTAGTCTACGCATGAGCTCGCATAACATTCAGAAAACCGTTTCGAAAAAGCTTTATACATTCTGTACGACTTCCCTTGTTAGTCCTGATTAAATCCAATAGTGAGAGGGTGCAGGCGAGCAGAAAACAGGGCTAAATAGCGCTAACGACTAAAACGAATGTCATATTTGTAATCAGGGCCTCAAATAACCCCATACTGCAAGTTGGCAACGAATTTGGTGAAGACAGCTTTGGCACCAACTGGCGCCAATTTGGCGCCAGCACCAAAAACGGATGTCATATTTGTAATCAGGACCTCAAATAACCCCATACGCAAGTTTACAGAGAATTTGGTGAAGACAGCTTTAACACCAACTGGCGCCAATTTGGCGCCAGCACCAAAAACGGATGTCATATTTGTAATCAGGACCTCAAATAACCCCCATATGCAAGTTTGCAACGAATTTGGTGAAGACAGCTTTGGCACCAACTGGCGCCAATTTGGCGCCAGCGCCAAAAATGAATATCATATTTAAGATCAGGACCCTCGAAAACCCCTATGGGAAAAGTTTCAGGGGGAAAAAATTTTCAACTTTTTCATTGAAATTTTGAAGTCATGATATTTTTTCTTCAATAAAATTTTAGTGGATAGAGATTTCTTCTGCCCAGGGGTGGCCTAGATAGATGAGGGTATGAAGATTTTTCACAGCAAAGAAAATCTCTCAAAGACCTCCTTTTGTTTTCAAAAATTCTATTTGAAGCCTGTCAGCTACCGTGGCTGACATGGTCCGAAGTGGACATCTTGAGTCGGCCACCGGTGGCTGACATTGTCGCGAATGGGTTAAAGGCAAACTTCGGACTCAGACCTACCTAATAAGCCCTTAAAGTGGCTAGAAGTGGATGGGACGCAACTGCAGGCTACTCACCAAAATCCCGCATCGAACGTTACTAAGGCGCTAGGGGCAAGGACTTTGACACGCTCCACCTGTTGCGACACGCTCCGCCCACCGCTCGATACCTTGTCTGCGTCGCAATATTGATCTGCTATGCTCTCTCTTCTCGGATTTCTCTACCGCCTCCCCGCTCATATTATCTCTCATCTCCCTGTCCGTCGATCTTCTGAACTTCTCCGCAACGTAGAGCAAAAGGCCCGTATTTCCTGTGTATTTCATGATTTTTTTCCCTTTTTTCTCCACTGGCGGTCCACCTCCCACCCCTACGTCACATTTGAGTGGAATTATTTCACCCATTTGAGCCTGAATCTTGTCTTTAAAGCAACAGTTCCAGCAGGGTGGGCGTGGTCGGAAACCATGCAATCCCCTCGGCCGATTCCGACCATGCCCACTTCAGCTCCCTGCCTAGCAGCTTTCCAAGGTGAGTTTTTGTTCAGTCACACTCACACTTCTTACGTTCTTGACTAGGGGCTGAACAGCTCCGCTTCGGGAATTGGCCGATGGGATTGCAGCCGTTTCCAACCACGCCCACCCCGCTGGGACTGTTGCTTTAATTACCCTGTCCCCTTTCTTTCGAAGGGCCTGCTGCGTGATGGCCCTTGGTGGGTCGTGGAGGAGCTGACGTTAACAACACCTATAAGAGACTCGCTGCCATCGGAAAATGGAGAATGGCATGCAGAGACAATCCGAAGAAGGTACTTGGGTCGAAAATACTCATCTCAGAAAGTGGGCACATGTTTGCGTCGCCACTCTGCGGACTATGTATTGTTGTCAATTCATAATTAAGAACGAAAAACCGTTATAAACAAAACATTTGATACGGTTCGTTTCGCTCCATCCTCAGACGAACCTTTTTATTTCGCCAATCCCCGGAGCTCATCAGTGAGTTGGGATTGACGAAATAAGGATACAGGGGAAAGACGAATAAACATTGATGTGACGCACTTATCATGCAGAGGAGCATGCAATGAAATGAATTGTATATTGACTAAATGAATGAAAATATAAGCTGATTAAACATGTAAAACCAAAGTGTGAAAGGTGAACGTTTGTACTTGTTCCACTAACAATTAGATAGAAATCCAGTAACGAAGTATTCCTTCCACTAACGTACTAATATTTTATAATTATTAGCAATTGAAAATTTGTAACATATCAACTTATTGAGACTAGTCTCAATGAAGATTCGACCGTACAAAACCTGTGTGGCACACAAAGAATAACAACTATTCAGGACCAAAAAAAATGCCCAGATTTCAAGAAAGGCGGACATGGAGGATATCAACTTATTTTTATAAAAGCACTTAACTACATTAGTTATAATAAAGTTCTCATGGTAACCACTTTCTAGTAACACTCTTACGAACTTTTGTAGTTTATCAGTAAATGTGTCAAAAACGGAACAAGTGTTAGCTATTCTAAGTGTTTCAGTGTATATGACGGAGCCTTTAGCCTCATAGGGCCGATGTCATAGTTTGCGAATCGAGCGATTCGCTAGTGAATGGCTGGATCTGAGCGTTGCACAGCGAATCGAATTTCGCGCCAGCGAATCGACCGATGCACCAGCGAGTCGAACTAGGTACCAGCGACCTAAAAGTGGGCGGGACCCAACGTCCAAAGGAAGCCCGCTATTTTCAGACAGTGTCGACTGTCAAGTGACACTGTTTGAAAGTGGCGGGACTTTCTTTGAACGTTGGGTCCCGCCACTATTGAGTCGCTGGTGCATCGGTCGATTCGCTGGCACAACGTTCGGATCGATTCACTAGCGAATCGCTCGATTCACAAACTATGACGTCGGCCTAAAGCGGCGACGCAATCGTTGCTGCGTGCCGCGCAGAGTAATCTTGGGCGGCACCGCAATTTGAGCGACATTTCCTCCAACTTTCCTACATTCCCTACAACTGTCCTCATCCGGACACGTACTACCTTATGGTAAACGAATGCAGCGGCTCCCTAATGGAAGGAGAATTCTACAGTAGGGAAGGAGGTCAAAGAAAGGGAAATCTACCGATAGAAAGACAGGCGGACTTCTTGAGAGTGCGAACTGACATGCCACCTCGTAGCCAAGGATGTGCCTCGGCAATCTGCATGGTCGTCCCCGCGCTCTACCGACGCTGCACACCCACCGACTGACTACCCACTCGCCGCAAGTCTCTAGCTGTGTAGCAGAGAGGTCAGCGTTGAAGATGGCGGCCCGGAGCCCATTTCTCAACTTCTAGGCAGTGTCTCAGGGTTTTTCTTCAAACCCGCACCTCTGACCACCTCTACCTTGATTTCTGGGTTGTCTTTTACCGTGAACTCCGCCTCCAATGAATGACCCACTTCAGCTGCTCTGCGATCATGGTCATCGATAAATGCGGGTGTTATAGCTTTTGATTCGACTCAAATCGAAAGACTGTCCAGTCACTTCATTACGGTAACAAAGAAGATCAACATGCTCGAACGAGTGCTTCGTGCGATGAACACGGCAGAATTCATTAAGCTACCTTTGCGAAGAAATCCCTAGTGATTTCGAACGGAACGTGATATTTGTTCTCAATGAGTTGTGCCAGTTCGTCCACAGTTATGAGCCGATCACGATTTGTGTCGAATTCCTGTAATCGAGGCAGTTTCACCAGTAGTTTGTATATAGCGAGACATTAATGCCCCTTCCCAAGACTGTCTTTTTAGCTCGCAACTGTCTTTGTAAAATTTATAGCTTTTGAAAATAACTGAGGATGTGTTTACTCGTTGGCCAGTAATGAAGGAAGCAATTGAAATTGGACAATCTCGAAAGCGCAGCCGCAGCGCAATGATCACATGGGCGGAATCCTCTATCTTCAATTTCGGGGCTGAAAAGCATGTCCCTTGACGCGATGAATACACAATGTGCACCGCGAGGCACTCTGCCCATCAAGCAAGCACATTTGAACTGCATGTGGATGTGACGTTGCACAGTGACATTTTAGACGCTCAGATGACACAAGAAGATACTAGGTTCGGTTGAATACCTATAGCAAATCCAACTAACCTTGAAGTGGTCGGTTGCAAAACGAATCGCACTCAGTCGAACAAGCCGAATAAAATCTGCTAGCTCAACCTTATCCAGTTTACCACTCTTATTCTGAAAAGCATAATTCTGTTAAAATCAAGATATGCGCCCTGACAAGCTCGACTCTTCCAACTACTACAGACTCAACCCGAAAATTGCAAAAGTCATCTATAGTTGCCATTTGGGCTTGATTAGCGGCCAGTGGCGCCAATTACCATGCGCACGGTCCGTGGGTAAAATCCAGCATCGTCGGAGCCCACAGAACATTGCACTCCTTCGAGCTCGGTTAATTAAGCTGAGTGGTTGGAAACACTGATATTCCATGGGCAACTCTTGCAATTCATTGTATAAGTTCCAAACGCTTTCAAGTAGCCCTACTATTCTGAAAAAAAGCTCAATGCGTAGAGTATCTCAAGCAAGGATACTCAGGTGCTATTCAGTACCCTGGTCATTAACGCGCCATTCCCTTCAAAACTCCTTTCGAATTATTCCTGATTAGTGCACCGGATAACCAACTATACGTATTAGGTTGTCTCATAAATAGTGTCGCTTTTTTTCAACCAAAAAATTTTCATCTAAATCTCCATGCTTTTACATCCATTTTACAGTCACACACCATTCGAAAGAGAATTGCCTGCGCTACAAGATGTTGTGTTCAACTTCCTCGTCTCTGTCCCATAGTTTTCGAATTTCAGGCCTGAGAAATGGGAAAATCCGCCGACAAGAATTGACCAAACCGACAACTAGCTCTAACTTTATTTTCCCTGCAGGGAAATCAATCAATGATGTACCTTCTACTTACTCATGACCTCTCCTGAACATGCCACCCTTATGTTGCCGAAAATGATCTGCCTTGTTTCTTCTCGAATTGGCTGACTGATAAGCCATGGCAACTTTCAAATTAAATTCTTCCTCTGAAACGCTATTGTTTTATATCAACTGGTGTATCTTTTGTGAGCACTTGTTCTGCTCTATTCGCTCATTTGTTTTGTTTTAATGTTTGTTAGGAATATGCTCGAATTCTAGGTGTTTAGGAGTAAGGTGCTTTATCCACGAAAGTGACCGCATTTCTTTGAAAAATTATGCAAGAGAAGATGAGAAAACCAACCAGGCGTACATTCCTAACTTAGTCATGACTTGTTCTTTGAAATCTACTAGTTTTCCAATGTCTCAGCTATAAAAAAATTTCGACCTCGATCTCAGGTAATGGTGCTTGACCGTCGAGTTCTGGTTGAAAAACCAGGTCTGAAAATGGAATGACACAGCTTGTTGGGAAACCTAATAGTGCAATGTATAGAAGGTGTCTTGCATAAGTAGAGGGTGCAGTATTGATAGATTTTGCCCAAGGAAAGATAAAGTTGGAGATAGTTGTCGGTTTGGTCAATTTTGGTCAGCTGGACCTCCTAGTTCGCAGGCCTAAAATTTGAAAACCATGGAACGTAGATGGAGGAGGAACACAATGCCTTGTAGAGCAGACAATTCTTTTTCGAACGGTATATGATTCGATGTCAAAGCATGGGGATTTAGATGAACATTTTTTTGGGTGAAAAAAAAGCGACACTATTTATGAGACAACCTAATATGTTTATAACGAAACAAGCAGAAAAACGTTAGTATGAGCCATTTGTGCCTGTTTCTATGAGTGTCGATTAGTGATAGGTCCTGTGAGTGCACTTCCAACAGAATTTCTGAGATTTCCAGATTGTAAAATGTATTTGGATAGTGGCAAAATAATTATCGGAAAATCTCACCTGATCTGCTATGCTGAATAGTGTCGCAGTCTCCTGGGAGTCCATGTCATCTTCTCGCTTCGTCTTCTCTTCGGCTTCTGGCAAACTCACTAAACCGTCCCCGTCTAGATCAATTTCCTGCAACCATCAACATTGTGAAAAAATTCTGTAGCTGCATTCCTAACCAAAGGTAGCAGGAAGGTAAGGATAAGTCACTGAGGATTCCAAACTCTGGAGGGTATCCGTAATATGAGTATCTGAATTGAGCATACCAACCGCTGCCTCCGCTAAAATTATCGGACCTCGATGCAAGACCCATGGCATGCTCAATTTTTGAGCCAGCACGCGCGCAATGTACACGGTTACCCTTACAGCGGGTGCATTCGCATTTTCCGTACATTCGAATCCAATTCATCTCTTTTGTAGATTCAGATTATTCCTTCACCTTGATTCCTGGAATCAAATCTAGGAAGGGAAGAAATTTCGAGCTGATGAATAATGCTGACGTACCCGGTGTTTCTGTACCCTCAAGGGTTTTGCATGCAGACAACGTAGTGCAGGTCAACTTGCATGACAGGCGCATACCAGTTCTCACTCAGAGAATCCGGATACTATTTTTCCAATGTACGATCTCTGGATGAGAATCGTTATGCATTTTGCGTCTCATTTGAATCTGGTTCCAATTGAATAAAGGCGAGTGTTGCAATGAAAAGGCAGCCCATTTCAAATTAAAAAAATCGTCCACGTAAAAGCCGTTCCTTCCCATCTGTGGACTGCATCTGCCACGATGGGACGGACCGGAAGTGCTTCTGTGACGAAGTGTGGCCGGTGCCGATCCACGTGTTAGTTTAGGGGAAGGTCTATCGTGAAACCGCTACAATATTACAATGTTCCCTTCCGGCGCTCTTGTACAGTAACCCCATACGCGAAAAATTGGCTGTCAGGTTCGGTGTCTCAATGGTGTGGTTACACACAAGACACTCTACCCCACGCCCTCACGTGCAAATCCGCCTTTCATGACCAGCAGTACGTTGCAGCTCTACTCGAATGATATTATTGGGCTTGGCAGAATTTGTCTGTTACCTTTTTTCAGATTTCCACGGATCTCTTTCACTGAGGGTCCTCTCTCACTGAAACTTGAGCCGGTTGGTGGCGAGGCTACGTGGCGCGACCCCAGGTGGCGGATAGGGGGTAAATCGCGGACTAAAAGCCACCATGTACTTGCCGTGAGACGCAGGTGGATTCGGCGGATGGATTCCCTGTTTCTGTAGTGCTGTGTTGATTCATACCAGCTGTCTCGACTCAGGCGCATCCATGCATGCTTTTGTGTGTGGTGCGCTCTGTGTGTGTGCGGTTGGTATCCTGCATGTCGGCATAGCCAAAAGCTTGCATTCAAGTGACTGGGAAGTACATGGGAGGCGATTCGGGGCCGCCTTCAAAAACTAAGCCCCTTGTTCCGCTCCAGGATAGCGTGGCTAACTACCCGGAGGACTACCTGGAGTATATCCTAGCCCACACGACAGAGCTGGCAAGCTACTCGTGTGCCTTTGATATGCGAAAACAGCAATATGGATGGGCCTCATTCCCTCTGAACCTGAGGGAGCCCCTAGTACGGCAGCGTTGGAGGACCGCTCACGAGAGGCTGCTAGAATCTCAGGCCCGGATAGGCTGCCTAACGAAGGACTAAGATGGCGATCTGTACTTTCAACGCACGAACGCTTGCATCGCCAAGCTCACATCGAAGATCTGATGATGCCCAGGAAGATCAAGTACGACGTCACCGGATTGCCGTAAACGAGAGCACCGCCGATACACGCCGTTTTCGATACTGAGAAGAACTGCTTCTTGGAACATGCGACAGCAGAGCGTTGGCGGTGTGAGTGTCCTCGTCAACACGCACTTGGCCACAAACATCGATTCGTACGAAAGCCTTACGAGCCGAATCGAACGTTCGAGATTGAGAAGATGTAGATCAACTCCTGCTTTGACAACCTTCGACTCGCCACCAAACATCCACCTACGACGAGGAGGAACATGAAGCATTCCATATTGGAATGGAGAATTTCTACAAGAAAGATTATACCTTCTTCAAGGTCATCGCCGGCGACTTCAACGCTAAGATTGGTCGAGAAGAACGGCTGAAGAACTTCACATTGGTACTCACGGAATGGATTGGAATGAGCGGGCGAAAGACTGTCGGTGTTTATCATGTCGACGAACACCATCCATGGTAACTCACAGTTCCAAAAGCCCCTTTTCGTTGGACTTGGAAGTCTCCTGATGGACAGTTCCATAATAAGACAGACCACATCATCTTCATCGAAGGTTTGCCTGACCGACGTCGCTGTCGTTCCAAAAGTTCTACAGAGGATCGGACCATCGTCCCAAGATTCCACTTCTCGATGTGTGTTGAGAGAGACTCAAAATTCAGGAAGCGAAGCCCAGGACAGTCATCAACTGGGATCGCTTCACTTCTCTTGTCAACTCATGGGAGGATTTCGTTATCGAGAAACATCGACGAGGAATATCATCGGCTCGTTGAACACCTTCACGAGAGTGCCAGGAAGGCAGAGAGTTTGAAAGTCGCCAAGGGACGTCTGTCTCCGGAAACTCTCGAACTGATAGCTAACGTGGAGCCGCACGAGCTGCAGCAATCACAACTCACGTCCGAGCTGCGAAGCTATGCAGAAGGGCGATAAAGGAAGATCTCAAGAGCGAAGAGCCAGCAGTATTAGCTGAAGCAGCAGAGGCTGGGAAGAGCATCCGCAATCCGCCGAAGCTTTGCCAGCTACAAGACCAAAATGAGCTGCCTCCGACGTCCGGATGGAACAGTTACTGCATCCCGAAGGGCAATGAGAGAGTCATCCACGACTTCTACTCGAATCTCTTCGATAGCCATGTCCATCTGCCCACTTATCAACTGCAACAGGATGGATACGTCGTCCCCTCAGTACTCTCATCCGCAGTCCGACAGGCCATCAAGTCGGTGAAGAATCGTACAGCACCCGGTCTCGACAGGGTCAAACCGGAACATAAGAACGCCCGCCAGTTATCATCAAAAACTCTGGCTCGACTCTTCACGCGCTACCTGTCGGAATGCAAGGTACCCACTCCTGGAAAACCAGCAGACCGGTTGTTGCTGTACAAGAAGGGAGACCTGGACGACATTGGCAACTATCGCCCAATCTGCTGCTGTCTGTAATCTACAAGCTATCACACGAGTCATCCTTAACAGGATCGGCAGAATACTAGATGAAGGACAGCCATGCGAGCAAGCAGGGTTTTGAAGAGGTTCAGCACGATCGACCATATCCACACGGTCACGAGACTCATTGAAGTTTCACGAGAGTACAAGATGGCGCTTTGTCTCACGTCGACTTGAAGAAGGCCTTCACTCTGTGGAGACATAAGCGGTCATCGAAAGCTTGGGCAAACCAGAGCGTCCCTACTCAGTACATCAAGATTCTTCGTGAGCTCTACAGCAACCTTAGACCAGAATATCACATTCTACCAAGGAGGCATCATTGACGTCAAAGAAAGGGTCCGACAGGCGACAAATTTCGCCCAAACTCTTCAGCGCCGCTCTAGAGAACGTCGTGCGTCAACTGGAATGAGAAGACATGAGAGTGAAGGTCGACGGCCAGCAACATACACCACCTTCGTTTTTGCTGACGACATCGTCCTTGTAACGCCGAAGATTGAGCAAGCGGAGCAAATGTTGGCTGATTTCCGACTGCGCCCGTGGTAGGTTGGTCTGCAGCTGAACCAAAAGAAGACGACGTTTATGAGAAACGGATTGGTTCCTGATCGCCCATTCACGCTCAACGGAACGAACATCACCGAATGCTCCAGCTACGTGTACCTAGGTCGGGAAATCAATATGATGAACGACCTAGCTTCCAGAGCAGAGCAGGAGGAAACGAGCGGCTTGGTGAGCATTCAAGAACATCGAAGGGGTAGTGAAGAAGACGAAGAACATCCGACTCCGTGCCACCTCTTCGATCCGCTGTCCTTCCTGCCCTAACCTACGCCTCAGAAACTTTGGATTCGTGCGCAGGCAGGACTAGCATGCGGTCAGCGTTATCCAACGCGCTGTCAAGAGGACGATGCTAGAGAAATCCTAAACACGCAAGTGCAGAGGGGAATCCGAAGTTCGGAACTACGCCATCGAAGATCAGGGAAGCTGCCGTTTTCGCTAAGGAATCGAAGATAAGGTGGGCCGGACACGTCATGCGATTGGGCGATGACCGTTGGACCAGAGCTTGTTACCGAGCGGGATCCCTAAGTACGTTCAAACGAACGGGCGACCGTCGGCCCGATGGTCAGACTTCTTCACGAAACTCTGAACGAAAGGAATGATGGACTTCGTGTACCTCGAGCAAGGAGGATCCACTGGACACTCTGGCACGCGACAGGGACGAATGGAGACGTTGCTGGCGCCCGCTCGAGCAAATCGACGATCAACGGACGACAGGTCGTGATACAGGTGATCTTTCCCAGGCTAGAAGAACGAAAAATCCCTCCAATGTATTTGTTTTCAACATATCTTTACTTTGGGCACAACTTTATCTTTACACCCCCATTCACTACCAATAGACACTTTCTTTGGGCACTGCTTGTTGGAAGACAAAGAAAATTTGAAGAAATTTCAAGGTTTCTCTCCCGGGATGGGAGAACATACAGCACCAGATCTCTTACAGATTAACGAGAGAGGTGCTTTAGATGTATAATAATTACTCTAATTCAAGGAAACAGGGAATAAAGATCGAACGTCACGTTGATCACTGATGATTTGGAGGAAGGCCATCGTCGAGTTCTCACTTTTCAAAAATTTCATGCCTCCCTCTTTTTAATGAGACTCTCGATAAGACCATCCTCCCCTCTACATCAGCCTCAACGGCTCCCTCTCTAGAACGCGCGTCGATCAGTGTTGAGCATCATTTTATCCACTTCACGCTCCATTCATGAAGTTTTCACCGCAATAGTCGTATAATCGGCAGAAAAGACCCACCACTTCCCCTCCTCCCATCACCCCTTGAACTCTTACAAATACAAGCACGCATTCA